CTGCTGATACTTTCATTTGTGAGGTCTGACGTCCACTTCCGGTATTACAATCTTCTAAAAAATGAAAATTTATCAACTTTACACTGTTCTTGCGCTTGATCTAATTATCGTCGAAGGTTGATTTTTTCAGGGTCTTTTGCATTTTGCAACATTTGCAAAGTCCCACTCTGTGCCACGAGTGGCTCTAGTTATTTTTTTTTTTGTATTTAAAACGGAAACTTTCCATCGGAAAATCCCTTGGGATGCGGAATTTCTGATATAATAACGGATTTTTTAAATGAAGTTTACTCCCTCTATTACTAGAAAAAAAAATAACTTCACAATACTTGTATTTAAAGAAACCCATATATATTGTTTGTTTTTTTTTTGTTTTTTTTTTTTTGCTCGCACAAACTCTTAAATTGGAATGTTCACGACCAAAGAATAGGAATCAATTAAACCATATAATACAAATATTTTCTTTAAATATCACCAATTAAAATTTGATCAACATTTTTCTTCAAGTTTTGACAATCCCGTTGTTTCACACAATCAAGTAGCCGTGTATGGAATAAAAAGAGGGAAATCGAGAATAAAACAAACATTGAACGCCATCTTCAACATGTTCTGATGTTGAAAATGTCATTTGAAGTGGGTTTTATTTTATTTGCTCGAAATGTTCTTATCCTTAAACAAAAACTAGAAATCATTTACTTGAGCACACAGTGGCGGAGCCAAAGGGGAGCAAGGGGTCTGCCGCCCCCCTTTACAGCACCGAAAGCAAGTTTTTCGGGCAAAAATCCCATTAGGTTAGAAATTCGGACAATTCCGACTCCTTTGACCTAAATCTGGATCCGCCACTGTGAGCACACTGACAAATGCAAAATAGAAATGAAAAGGCTCTGACCTTCATTTGACATAATATAGCCGGTTTCCACCAAAAATTGTGTCCAAAGCACTTAGTGTGATAATAACATCTTCATTGGGACATAAATCAGACCAGGCCTAGCCCTGTAAACTTTGGGGTGCCAATCATAGATACACAGTCCATAGCCACTTGATTGTTCAGAGGGGCAAGTGATATATCCGAACGGGCAATAGTGTATAGTCTTTAGTACGGGGATATTCTAATAGGATGTCGAGCTGAGTAGATCCACTAGAATGATGTTGAAGTGCTCAAGACACGCTCTGCGCTGATAGAAATTGTGTTCTTACCTGATTTGATGTCAACCTATCTCTTTCCAGGACTAATTTCCTCGGAAATCTATTTTCTACCATTTCTACACTTTCTCTAGTTAATGACATTTTAACTGAGTCTGACTATCTTCCTTTCGCTTGAGTCGACTTGAACTAACGGATGTTCCACAGAACCTGCTTAGTTCCGAAAAATTAGTCCATTTTAGGCGGTTTCTATTGAAATTAAACGTCACAAATTATCAAAGTTCGCGAATTTACATTGTTGGAAGTGATCGTCACGTTGTTGGATCAATGTCTAAGGGGAAATAGTTTGATTATTTTTAGAAGGATGGTCGATGATGAGAAAATTGATCTTAACGTCTGGAATCTGCAGTCAATCACATGGTATCGATATTATTTAACGTGTACGTTATCATTCTATATTAGTAAACACCGTACCAGAATTACAGTTTCTACAATAATTTCCACATGTAAATGATAACGTTTTATGATTGGTTATCACCTAATAATAAACGTTTATATCCGTTTTACTCAATTCCATATCAGTAAAAATACCAACAAAAATCACTCTGTCGGCGAATGTCTATGAATTCCCATTTTCGATCGTTACCAACAAATAAATATGCATGTTATCACAAGTGAATAGAAACTAATAAATATGCATATTTTATCACTAGTGAACAGAGAGAATAGAAACTATCTGTTTTATGTCTGGTTGATGTGACAGGGAAGGTTACATCAACCTAACTCTATGATTAAGTGTGAGATCATCAACAGTATGACCAGAGTTTCCTTATCATTCACTGATCAATAACCACTTATAGTCAATAAAACAGATCGCATTTGAATGTAGAAATACTTGCATGTTGTTAACTAACATATGTGACTACTTTTAACAGAGACTAGGATATATTAGTCCGAATAGGTTGACTCATATCCTGTCTCTTAGCAGTCCAAAAAAACAACATCATTACGACAAATATAACATGAGTTATGCATCCATAATAGGAATTCCACTTGTCAGTATTGATATTATTCGTGTTAGGTTTACCAAAATCAAACATCATGGGTTTGAAGAAATCAGTTTTCCCCAATCTGAAACACTATAACTTTCAATGCCACCTTACGATTAGAACATATAAATCTAAAACAAAATATTCGAATAAAAAACATTTTAACTTTGCGTGCTTGGTTACAAGTTTCAATGTACGATAATTATGGAACACCTTTTTGTATTCAGAACACATTCTGAACACACATAGAATACATTCTATTTCTATTTTCATCTGCCTGATTCCCGTGATATTTCTGTGGTATTTGTTATTTAAAAAATAACCGGCGGTTGCCAAGCAAGATTTAGATATTTCACAAGCCATTTTTAACATATTTTCTGGAAATATTTATAGAACCGTATCCAAATTTGAACTTATCCCTGATCTCGTGGATATAGAACTAAACACACAATTTCGTGAAAAAAAATGAGAAAAACTGCTTCTTTAAGATTGCTTATTCCATTACCTCGTCAAATGGTTTTTTATACGCCCACATGAAATTGAAAATCAGAAGAGTCGAAAAATATTTAGTATAAGTTATTGCCCTTGTTCTTGAAAACGCGTTCAATTTTTAGTTCGTAAACACTCTAGAAAGGACAATTTTTTAACTGATTTTGACGAAACTTGGCACGAGTGTTTGTTATCACCCAAGGATGAACCCTATTGAAAATCAGAAAAATCGAAAAATATTTAGTATGAGTTATTGCCGTTGCTCTTGAAAATGCGTTCAATTTTTTAACTCGTACTCACTCTAGAAGGCACAATTCTTGACAGATTTGATGAATCTTGGTGTGAATGTTCGTTATCACCCATAATGAAATCTATTGAAAATCAGAAGAATTGAAAAATATATAGTATGAGTTATTGCCCTTGTTCTTCAAAACGCTTTCAAATTTAGCTCTTAAACACTAAAAGGCATGATTCTTGCTGGATTTCGACAAAATTTGGTTTTATTATTCAGTCCCGCGCTGGAGATTGAATATTTGCCTTAGAGTTTTCACGTGCTAAAAATTGAACACGTTTTCAAGAACAAGGGCAATAGCTCGTACTCAATATTATTCAGTATTGCCCTAAAGAGTTCACAAGAAGTGTATGACTGAAGGTTGAATATTTCATGCTGGTGATTGTTACTGTACTGCTAAATATTTTTATTCAAAATTAAAGCTGCCAGTGGGCGTATATTACCTTGTCCATGGCAAGCTGTCTTAAATTCCTTGTGGGGAAAGTTTACAACGTTGATTGACTTCGCATTGTCTAATGTAGGGCTTTGTAACAGCTCTGTCTGTTATAAAACAATCTTGATCTTGAAAACTATTCTCTTTTTAATTCTAAAAGGTTGTGTTTAATAAGAAATGTGGGTCAATTGATTGATATTGATATAGATTCTTCACGGGTGCAAATCCGACGGATCGTCTCCTAATCACTTCTTTAAAGTGTAACTAGTCGATAAGGAAATCAATGATCGTGTCTTTTGGTGTGGTTCTTGTGTCACACTAGGAGATAATCTATTGCCCACCATTAACATTGAATTAGCTAATGGAAGTTAATAGCTTGTAGAAATGTCAAGAATAGATTTCTATTTACTTCGACAATAAATCAAGTCAATTACATTGATTATGAAGTAGAAAACAGGAAGGGCCAATGATAATTATTGATTATTGAAACATTTAATTATCTTTCAATAACAAGTTTCTTTAAAAAATAATACTTTATATTGGTTTGTTGATCTTAAACTGAATTATCATTACAACAATTACATTCCTTCAGAAATCAATATTCTTGAACAGAAAAGTATTTTTATCGACTTCATAATTTTATGAGTGAGGGTAATCAACCATGTAACCTAAACAAAGGCTTCTTAACTCTTGCAGGAAAACATTGTATTAGGTATCAAGATAATAAATGTTCACGTCACATCATTTCTAAATCGACCAATCATTTGTTTTGTAAATTTGAACACATTTAAAGATATTCTACCTCTTAAGATCACCCAAAAATTGAAATTTTTAAAGTGACCAAAATGTGTCTTTATTCATCAGTGGAGTTACCTGGTGTCTTAACTATACTATGTCCATTCTATAAGGTGGTATTCCTTTAAAACATCTGAATATCATATGTGTACATGCAAATCTTCTGGTATGAAAAAGTCTCTCTGCTTCCATTCAGAAAAGTGGTATCTTTTTAATAAGCTATTTACTGATGCAATAATTCATTCAGAATTGTAACAATTTTGTTGAGTGATCTATTTTGAATACTTGCCGATCATTACTAAGAGTAATAAACATTAGGCAATTATTATAGTCTATAATGCGTGCTTCTGAAGCTTATTTTAAACAGAAAGTAAGATGAAGCACTGAGGAGTGTAACAACAATTTATCTTGTATTTTTCTTTTAACCATTCATCAGTTTTCTCATGAACTGGGTGGGTTCAAAGGTCATAGTCTTAAATTCTAAATAAACAAACCTGGGACTATTATTATTATAACTTTATTATAATTGCACTGATTTAAATAAATAATATGCACTAGATATTTCAAATAAAAAGTTATATAACAAAACATTAAAAATATCTTTAAACAAATAAGTTTATACAGACATCTAACAAAGCAAAGGAAATAAGGAATGCTTTCCAGAAAGTCTTGTATTAAAGTATGGAATTGTTATATAGGGGGTATATAAGACAGTTGACTGTCTATTTATAAAGAAAACAAATTCAAAAGTACATGTAGTATTATGATGTTGTTATTTTTTTCCTTTTTTTGGTTTAAAATGCAAATTAATATTCACTTTATGTCTTTTTCAGCAGGTTACTTAGCTCCTTGATAGAAGGGAGGTTAGGGAAAAAAATCAGCAAAACCAATCAATGAATGTATTTTCAAATAACAATCCAGTTATATCAAAAGTAATAAATCCTTTAAGCATCATATAATATGCTATTTCTTCAGGATGATGATGCTCCCCTTGCTCTCATTGCTTATCCTCATTATACTGCTTTCATTCTTCTGTTCTTAATCCTGATTATTTCTTATTATCTTTGGCCTCTCCCTCTACTTTCTGTCCATCCCAAGTCTCTCCACCACCAGAAGTAGCTTCTGACTCATCAACATAAATAATATCATCTGGATGGGGTGGTTTAGGTAAAAATATTTCATCAGGACATATCTTCTTAAAGATTCTTCTAGCCTATGAATCAAATGTATATGGTATGAAAATGTTACTGACATGAGACCAAAATCCTTATCAAAATAAGTAATAATGTTACATAGAAACATTAGGGAGATTACCAGGATTAAGTCATAAGCCCTCTACTGATACCTAATAATGCCTCATTTTACTTATCCTTGGGATGAATTAAAGCAAAAGAAATCATGGCTAACAAAAGATAATAAATTACACCAGCGGGATTTATTTACCTCATCAGCAGGCTGGTCCATATGAATATCTGTATTAGGTCCAGGTATAATAAATATGTTATCAGGTATAGAACTATCTATATTAATAACATCATTAGGTTGTGTAAAATAAGCTGACCATAATATCAGTGGTTTTATACTTTCTGCAATAGCAATTCAATAGATATAGAAAGTTTGCTTAATGAAACATGGTAATTTGAAACACGATAATTAGCATTAAAGTGTTAATAGTATATTTAATTTTTAACCAACTATGCAACTGCTTTTACTCAAAATATCAGAGCTGTAATATCTTATATATACTTTTTTAGTGGTGCCATCATAGTTTAATCCCCCCATCCCCATTGGTCAGTATTAATAGTGACAATATGAAGATTTAAAATTACACATAAAAAAATGATCTATATTACCTGGATCAACTACTGATGTTTCCAGATAAAATAGTGTGAAAAGGAAGAAT